CCTGGAATTTGGTTGCGGCTCTTGATTCTCCTTTCCCCTCATCTTTTCACCCTCCCCATTCTTCTTCCTCCTCTCTGCCAGGCTTCCTTTTTTTACATTTGCCTGGTCCTTTTTACTTATGCCAAAGGTGACATTCCCTGTGGTACATAATGTGATTTTTAAAATACATCTGCGAGGCTTCCTCTTCCTGTCTCTTCACTCTGCTTCTAGATCTCCTTCTGCATTACGATCTTTCCATTATGATACCCTCTTCTTCCCTTCCCCTTTCTTTTATTTTACTCTAGCTTCTGCATATAACGGAAAACCTTCGACCTTTGAATTTCTGAGTTTGGCTGTTTTCACTTAGAATGATGTTCTCCACTTAGTGGCAGATGCCATGATTTGATTCTTCTTTATGACTGAGTAAAATTCCATTGTGTATGTATGCCATAGTTTCTTAATCCATTCATCTATTGGTGAACACCTGGGTTGATTCCGTAATTTAGCTACTGTGAATTGTGCTCCTGTAAATATTGAGGTGGCTGAATTGCTATATTATGCTGATTTTAAGTCTTTTGGGGAAAAACCTAAGGAGTAGGGTAATTGGTTCATGTGGTGGTTCCATCCCTAGTTTTTTGAGGAATCTCCATACTACTTTCCGTTGTGTGGTTAAACTAGTCTTTAGTCCCACCAGTAAAGTTCAAGTGTACCTTTTCCCCCACATCTTTACCAGCATTTATTTTTTGCTTCGTTTCCTTCCTTAAATTTGCATTTTGAAACAGATTCATACAAAATTTCTGAATTTGTGCTCTCCTTTAACTTTCCCACCCCGTTCAGCCTGTGAGTCTCAGCCTCAGTGCCACCTTAAGAATACTTTCCTATTGATTGATCACTTTTTAAAAAAAAAAAAAAATTTTTTTAGATGTATGGACTTTTATTTTATTCATTTATTTATATATGGTGCTGAGAATCGAACCCAGTGCCTCACACAGGCTAGGCAAGCGCTCAACCATTGAGCCACTGCCCCAGCCCCTTGATTGATCGCTTTTGAAAAATAGACATGTATGCTCTGTGTGTGTGTGTGCCATGTATATGTGGGCGTGTGTGTGCGTGTGTGTGTGCATCTGCATGCCGTGTGTGCATATGTGCATGTGTGTACATCTGCATATGTGCGTGCATGTATGTGTGTGCATGCGTGTGCAGTGTGTGTGCCATGTGCATGAGTGGGTGCATGTGCATGTATGCATGTGCTGTGTGCGTGCATGTGCTATGTGTGCATGTGTGTGTGTGAAAGAGAGAATCGGAAGAGGAGGGACAGCTTGGTCCTTGTTTTCTGTTTGGGAGCCTGCATAATTTTTTCCTACACGCTTAAACTTGGTAGGATAGGTCCTGATGGCGTTTGTTGTCGTTTGTTTTGCTTGAAATGTAGACCCTTCCTTGCCTCTAGAGACAGTTGTCTTTTTGTAGTTCAGGAATGTTTTATTTTTGAACTTGTAATGTAGTTTTAGTTTTTTCAACCAAAATGTTATTATTATAGTGTTGAATTTTAATTCTCTTTTTTGTGTATTATCTCTTTTTTTTGCCATTTTCTTTTCTTCCCATATATTTCGTTTTAAATTGAACACTGGGAAAGCACTTTAATTGTATTTCCATGTCATGGAAGTTTTCTGTGTAGACATTTCAGTGCTTATCTTAATTAATGCTTCCTCCTTTGCAGTTTTTTCTTAATTAAGCCAGTCTTTTAATCTCCACCTATTTGTGGTTCTTTGTTGAAGCTTTATGCTTGGCACAATAATATGTGCATGGACATCTCTCAGATGGTTTGAATACTTGCATAAACAAAAACCAGATCTTGGTTGATGTGTGCTACTGAGAGTGTTAAAATGTTTTTCTATTAATGTGTTCTTTTTTTAAAAGACAGCTGTATTGAGATGCAGGTTTATATACCACAAAACTCATCCATTGTGAGAGTACAGTTCCATGATTTTTAGGTTTCATAGAGTTGTGTAACTGTGATAATATCCTGCTTTTAGAATATTCCTGTTCTTACAAAGTGTCCCTTCGTGCCTGTTTGCAGTTAAGTCCTTGCTTCTGCACTCTGTCTGTAAATCTGCCTCGTGTGGATGTTTGTATAGATGCATGCAAAGTTACTGCTCATGTACACACAGATACACTTTTGCAGTTGTTTATATGTAAACAGCTGTTAAGTAAGGTGTGTAATGGACACACACACATACACACACTGTGTGATTGCTTTCATCTCCATGTGTGGCTTTCTGGGGTCGCCTGCTTTCCATGTGGCTCCATGGGCTTGAACCAATTTATCAAACATTTGCTGAAAATTTATAATGCTGTGAGGCTAAAGAAATACTATCACGAAATATTTCCCCCAAGCACTATGATGAATCCAACAGCACTGGATTCCAAATTAAATTGTTAAAACTGTGACACTGGTGTGGGGTCCAGAAGCTGCATTTTAAAGAATTATATTACTTTAATTTTTTTTGTTGTTGTTGCTGCCAATGGACCATTTATTTATTTATTTATTTGTATTTATGTGGTGCTGAGGATCAAACCCAGTGCTTCACACATGCTAGGCAAGTGCTCTGCCACTGAGCCACAACCCCACCCCAGAAGCTGCAGTTTTTAAAGGAAATAAGAATGGATGTGGACCCGAGCATCTCCAGCAGCCAGGCTTTGGTCCCCTGTCAGTAGCAGCGTGTGGGTCAGGAGCAGCCGTGCACATGGCTCTGGTTTGTGCTTCGGCAGCGTCCTTTCATGTCTCCCTTGATGTCCACACGCAGACTTGGGTTGACCCACCTGCCCTGACTGTGGCTGAGCCTCAGCCTGCCACAGCACCAAACTCTTGCTCACCGACCACCTGGTCCACCATTTATGTGTCGGTGCACCTGAGCATGTGTTACTTACCACCCCGAATGCGGCACCCACTCCAGCAGTAAAGCGGCCGCTCCTCCTGGCTTGCCTTGCCTGCCCTGCTCTGCAGAGCCTCTGTGTCTACTGAGCAGCAAGGAGCTTTACCCAGCATTCTCAGTTCAAACATAAATGTTTTTTAGGTTGTTGTACCCTTTGATTGATTTCCAGAGCACCAAATGTTTTGTTTTTTGTTTATGGGGATTTTTTTGTTTTTGTTTTGTTTCTGGATAAGTCTCATCCAGCTTTTCCCTTGGTTTGGGTAGAAGAATTGCTGGAAATGTTCCCCTCAGAGTGTATTCTTTTTCTAGCGAAGTCATTTCCCCAGTTACACTTACTGTATTAGTCAGGGTCAGAGAAGCAGAACTAAGAGAATCTGTGGGGGGATGCAGACACGGACAGAATAGACGGTTTTTTGTTTGTTTGTTTTAGGTATTTTGTTTCTATTTATAGGTAGACACAATATTTTATTTTTGTGTGGTGCTGAGGATTGAACCCAGTGCCTCATGCATGATAGGCAAGTGCTCTACCTCTGCACCACATCCCCAGCCCAGAAGAGATGGATTTTAAGGAATCGGCTGATGCTGTCATGGGGCTGGCAGGTCTGCAATCCGCAGGGCAGTCTGACAGGTATAGCAGTCTGGAAGCTCCGGCAGTGGTTCTGTGCTGTTTTGGGATTTTCTACTTTTTTGGAAAAATTTGTCTCTTAAAGCCTTTAACAGTTAAGGCCCTCCTGTGTTGTGGAGAGTGACCTACTTGACTCAGAATCTGTCAATTTAAATGTTAGTCACATCTGAAAATTCTTCCAACAACATTTGTGTTGGTGTTTGACCAAACAGATGCTCACCATGGCCTGGCCAGGTTGACACGTGGAACTAACATCATGCTGTCCTCTGAAGATGCAGGTCCTTGTCTTAGTGCGAGTGTGGTCTGATTGCTGTCTGCTTCTCAGGGTGGACCCTTGCTCCCACTGGACCTGCAGTTCCAGCTGTTTACATATTTGACCACGAGGCACCTGCAGCTTTGGAGTGCCCTGCGTCCAAACCTCCCCTCTTCCTCCAGGGCTCAGTCACAGGCCTGTGTGCCAGCAAGCATGTGAACACTAGCTCTCCTTAAGGGGTTGTGTCCTGTCAAGCCCTCGGGCTCTGCCTGCAGTTCCTGAGCCTGCACAGCCTTTTCAGTTGGCCTATGTGCCCCTTTTCCTATTGCTGCCTTATCCCTCTGTGCATTTCTTTCTTTCTTTTTTTTTAGAGAGAGAGAGAGAGAGAGAGAATTATTTATTTTTAGTTTTTGGCGGACACAACATCTTTGTTTGTATGTGGTGCTGAGGATCGAACCCGGGCCGCACGCATGCCAGGCGAGCGCGCTACCGCTTGAGCCACATCCCCAGCCCCCTCTGTGCATTTCTTTGAGTGCTGATCACATTTTATTGTCACTGTTTGCGTATCTGTTTGAAGACTTTGTCTTCTGAGAGCAAAGCTCCTACACTGCCCTCCTTCTCACGGTCTGTCCTGGTCAGACGTGAACTTCTGGTTTGCAATGCCTGAATGAACACTGAATCTCTGCTGAGGATTTGGAAGCTACATTCATACTTCTTTTGTAGTAGTTTCTCATCATACTGGAATGTGGAGATGGTGATTATTTGGGGATGAAACAAACCTGAGTGCAAGTGGTCAGCCTTGGGTCAGATGCCAGGCATGCTTGGGTGTCTTCAATACTTGCTTGACTCCTTGGTGCAGACGCTTTTATTTTTTCTCCCATCCGATGCCTGCTATGTAGGCGTTCTGAAGCAGAATTTACTGCTGGCATGTCAGACCTGTTCCATTAAGAAAAGCTGTTTCTGATAATTTATTTATTCACGCATGTTGTTTTGAGGATCAAAAAAGGGCCTCATGCATGCTGGGCAAGTGCTGGACCACTGAGTGAAGCCCAGCGAGGAGTTCCTGCTCACTTTTGTGTTTACTGTGTTCTGAGAATGCCAGGGCTGCTTCGGCTTCTTCACACGTAGAACTCAGTGGTTGGTAGCTGGAGACTGTTTGTAAACAATCAAATAATGTGATGATAAATAAACTTTTTCCTTGTCTTACCAGATATTAATCATCTTTCTGAAGTACAATCTCCATGGCCTGAACTTTTTTTGAAAATCATTTTGAGCAAAGTATTTGTTTAATAACAAGATAACCACATCAAGATGGTTGGAAAACTGAAGCAGAATTTACTATTGGCGTGCCTGGTGATCAGTTCTGTGACAGTATTTTACTTGGGCCAGCATGCCATGGAATGCCACCACCGAATAGAGGAACGTAGCCAGCCAGCCAAATTGGAGAGCACAAAAGCCACCGTGCGAACCAGCCTGGACTCTAAAGCCAATAAAACCTTTGCCTATCACAAAGATATGCCTTTGATATTCATTGGCGGTGTGCCTCGGAGTGGGACCACACTCATGAGGGCCATGCTGGACGCACACCCTGACATTCGCTGTGGAGAGGAGACCAGGGTCATTCCTCGGATCCTGGCCCTGAAGCAGATGTGGTCGCGGTCCAGTAAAGAGAAGATCCGCTTGGATGAGGCTGGTGTCACTGATGAAGTGCTGGACTCTGCCATGCAAGCCTTCTTACTAGAAATCATCGTGAAGCATGGGGAGCCAGCCCCGTACTTATGTAACAAAGATCCCTTTGCCCTGAAATCCTTAACTTACCTTGCCAGATTGTTCCCCAATGCCAAATTTCTCCTGATGGTTCGAGATGGCCGGGCATCAGTGCATTCAATGATTTCTCGGAAAGTTACTATAGCTGGGTTTGACCTGAACAGCTACAGGGACTGTTTGGCCAAGTGGAATCGTGCCATAGAGACGATGTACAACCAGTGCATGGAGGTCGGTTACAAAAAGTGCATGTTGGTCCACTACGAGCAGCTCGTCCTCCATCCTGAGCGGTGGATGAGGACCCTGTTGAAGTTTCTCCACGTCCCATGGAACTACTCAGTGCTGCACCATGAGGAGATGATCGGGAAGGCCGGGGGAGTGTCGCTGTCAAAGTGAGTCCAGGGCACACTCTTCCTTCTCACCCCGTGTCCCCCTGATGAGTTTGTGGGTGTGTGTGCGTGGGTGTGTGTGCACGGATGTGGGAGTGTGCGTGTTTGTGGGTGTGTGTGCGCGTGGGTGTGTGTGTGTGCATATGTGCGTGTGTTTGTAGGAGGGTTGTACACAGATGTGTGTGCATGTGTGCATGTTTGTGGGTGTGTGCGTGCGTGGATGTGGGTGTGAGCATGTGTGGGGGGTGTGTGAGCATGTGAGTGTGTGCACATATGGGTGTGAGTGTGCGTGGGTGTGTGTGCGTGTGAGAGTATGTGCACATGTGGGTATGGGTTGCACATGTGTGTGTGTGGGTACATGTGTGGGCATGGATGTAGTTTTTTTATACATAAAGTTTAGACCTTTCTGGAACAGGGGTAGCTTGGATGCGGAGTTTTCTTTTCATTAGTTCTGTCAGCTTATTAGATACCCTTCTGTCCATGTAATCTCTGTGCGCTTATAATATCATGGTCCTTTGTGTCTGTGTGCTGGATGCCAACCAGCTAACAGGCAAAGAAGGGCCTTTCCACTGACCTCAGCCTCAGAGTCCGGGTTCAGTGTTACTGGCTTGTGACTTCTGACTTCTAGGTGTGCTTGTAAGTGGCAGTTTGGCTTCTGGGTAGAGTTAGGGTAATACAGGGAATGCACCTACTGTGTCAGCAAGCACTTAGGGAATGTCAAGCATTTTAAAATTTTAGTTATAGCAATAATGAAGGTACTACGACCTTTTACGGATAAGACAAGGTCATGGAAAGGTTAAGGGGACATGCTCATATTGAGATGCAAAGCTGTCATTCAGAATGTGCCAGATCCACTGAGCTCTGCTGTTTTCTAGCACCTTGCCACAGGCAGCGCCCCTTCAGGCGTCGATCCCCTTCTGGCTGTTTCCAGGAGGCGAGAGCCGCCATGGTTGGAAAGCTTCATCCACACAGAGGTCCTTAGTAGCCAGCGCTTAGAACAGTGACTAAGCCTCTTGCTGAGTCTTGCACTCTGCCTCCTTTCCATGAAGGGGTGGCTGCAGTGGACCAGTTGGTGTGTGGCCTGAGCAGTAACTGTGTGCGGAGAATGAGGAGATGACAGTGGAAAGCACTGTTAAATTCAGGTGGTGCCTCCTTATTGAAGAGAATTTGTGTAAAATTTTATTTTTTATTTTTTGGTCTTTTTTAATTTATCAAAGTAATGTATATCTCTGTAAAAAAGAGAAAGCAGTGTGCAGTGTGAGCCGCTCCTTCCGCTGAGCGTGTCTCCTCACTTTCCCACGACTGTGACTTGTCTAGTAAGCACTGCCTTTCCATGCAGACCGTCTCCGAGGAATGTCTGCCTGCCGGCGCCTCGCTCTCAGTTACTGGTGGTTTACACATTATCAGCCATTACCATCACTGCAACTCTAGATCATTTGTATTGATTGAAAGAAAATTACAGTCCTAGTCACTGTCACTGCACTTTATTGTTCTTTCCAGATAATAATCTGTAGTTGATTTTTAATGACCTGTATTCCTAGATAAGTACAGCTGGGGTTCTGCCTCTGGATTCAGCCAATCATGCATCAAAAGTATTTGCAAGAAATTGCACTGAAGATGTACATACTCCCCTCGTCATCATTCCTACACATGCAGCATGACAGCTGTCTATACAGCATTGGCCCTGTTGTAGGTCTCAAAAGTGATCTAGAGGTGATGTTAGCTATAAGGGAGGGTGTGAGCAGGTTGTGTGCAGATGCTGCTCCATTTGTGTGAGGCTCTTGAGCATCTACACAGTTTGCATCTGCAGGGTTCTGGAGTCCGTCCCCTGCTGATACCAAGGGCTGTGGTGTGCCCTGGCCGGGAGACTCTGGTGCTAGTTCTGCTTGTCAGTGCAAAGAAGCTGACAACATCTCCAGACTCTCCTAGTGGGGACTGAAGAGATATGTGAAGTTAAATCCTGGGGATAGGAAGAGAGAGACCGTTCTGCATGTGTACCTGCTGTGCTCCATCCATAGAACCTTTAAGTCAGTGAATTTCATCAGGGAACAAGCCTTGGCATCTAGTCTGTTGTTTGGAGACCCAGCCGAGCTCTGGGCTTTGTCACAGAACCTTGGCCACGTTGCAGGTGTCTGTGTGAGATGCTCAGTGTTCGGCTGGGTGAGCGCTTAGTTCATGTGCACGCCTATACTCACCACCCACACCAAGGAATAGGGAACCCCAGCAGCATCCAGGAGGCTGTGCCTGCTCCTTCCTGTCAGTGCTCCTCCACCCAGAGCTGCCCCTGTGCCACCCCAGTCTCCACAGGTTGTCTTGCTTGTTTTTAAACTTTATTTACATGCAGTTGTGCATATTTTTTGTGGTTGGCTTCTCTTATTCAGTGTTGTGTTTGAAATTCATTCATGCAGTTGTAAATAGCAGTGGTTGCTCCATTGTTATTCCTGTGAAGTGTGCCACAGTTGATCCGTTCTTCCATGGACAGACACTTTGAGTTGTTTCTGGTTTGGGGCCATTGTGGATAAAGTTGCCAAGAACATACTTGTACGTTAGTTTTGTGGAACATGAGCATTCTTTTTGAGTGTATTTCTTTCTTTTTGAGTATATACCAATGAGAATTATTGGATCATACTTATGTGCTTGTAGACACATACGCACACTTGCACGTGCGCATGTGCGCGCGCGCACACACACACATGCTATAAAATATATACTTCCTTAAGATTTTCTAAACTGTATTATTTGTTGGTGTTTATACTGTAATTGTCTCTCATCTTTGCCAGCACTTGAACCTTTTAATTTTAAACTTTCTGATAGGGTACATGTGTTTTTTGTAAATTTAAAAACAAAATTTAAAAATGGCATATGAACCTCTTTTTGAAATAATCTTACCCAGAATTCCAATATAAAGCACAAGAGCAAACCTTTAGTTGAGTCTAAATTATCACATACTTCCTCTTTTAAGACTGAGTCCCTATTCTCGAAAAACCACAAATTCAGGGATAGGGCAGAAGCAGTTATTTCTTTAGGACCAAGTTGTAAATATTTGGTGTTCATTGTTATGTCGATTTATACCTCAGAGTCAGTCATCCTGTGTGCCTATTCCTGTGTACAAACATTGCTTTCTTTTGGAAAAATTGTTTAAAATCAGTTTCTTTTTTTTTAAATTTATTTTTTAGCTTTAGGTGGGCACGATATCTTTATTTTATTTTTATATGGTGCTGAGGATTGAACCCAGTGCCTCACGCATGCCAGATGAGCACGCTACCCCCTGAGCCACATCCCCAGTCCCTAAAATCAGTTTCTTAATACTTGTTATAATGTTATGTAGTATGACGGTACTTAAAAATATTTGGGAAGCCTGAAGGTTTGCAGATGTCACCAGGTAGCCCAGGAACCTAGGTCCTGGCTGTTGAAGACATTGATGTGGAACAAGCTCACAGCTCTGCCTGCCTTCGCTTGTCAACTGTGAAGGTTAGCCTTGCCTCTGCTGGGGCTGGCGTGGAGATGCCCCACTGTTTCCAGTCAGGGTGGTGCCTCTTCCTTCTCTGGTCAGTTCCAGTCTCAGAGACAGAGGAGGTGGGGATGAAGCCCAGTGGTGAAGCACTTGCCTGTCACGTGAAGCCTGGCTTGGGTCCCAGCACTCGGGGGGGGGGGGGGGGGGGGCACTTGACCACTGAGCCTCATCCCCAGCCCTATTTTGTATTTTATTTAGAGACGGGGGTCTCACTGAGTTGCTTAGCACCTTGATTTTACTGAGGCTGGCTCCTGCCTCAGCCTCCCGAGCCGCTGAGATTATAGGCGTGTGCCACTGTGCACAGTTTACAGGTCTATCTTTTTTTTTTTTTTTTTTTTAGTTGTAGATGGTCACAATAACTTTATTTTCTTAATGTGCTTCACACATGCTAGGCAAGCACTTTACCACTGAGCTACAACCCAGCCCTGAGTCTTTTTTTTTTTTTAATTTTTTTACTTGTTCTCTTTAGTTATACATGACAGTAAAATGTATTTTGGCATATCATGTAAACATGGAGCATAACTTCCCATACTTGTGGTTGTATAGGATGTGGAGTTACACTGGTTGTATATTCATATATGAACATAGAAAAGTTATGTCCAATTCATTCTACTATCTTTCCCATTCTCATTCCTGCCCCCGCCCCCAATCTGGGGAAACTCCATTCCCCCTAACCCCCATTGAGAGTAATCATCTGCATATCAGAGAGAACATTCAGCCTTTGGTTTTTGGGGACTGGCTTTTTTCAATTACCATGATAGTCTCTAGATCTATCCATTTACCAGCAAACACCATAATTCCGTTCTTCTTTATGGCTGAGTAATATCGAATTGTATGTATATATCACATTTTCTTTATTCGTACATCTGTTGAAGAGCACCTAGGTTTGTTCCATAGCTTAGCTATTGTGAATTGAGCTGCTATGGACATTGATGTCCACTATAGTATGCTGATTTTTAAGTCCTTTGGGTATATACCAAGGAGTGGGATAACTGGGTCAAATGTTGGTTCCATTCCAAGTTTTTTGAGAAATCTCCATACTGCTTTGCAGAGTGGTTGCACCAACTTGCATTCCCATCAGCAATGTATGAATGTACCTTTCCCCCACATCTTTGCCAACATTTGTTGTTATTTGTATTATTGATAATTGCCATTCTGACTGGAGTGAGAGATGAAATCTCAGTTTAGTTTTAATTTGCATTTCTCTAATTGCTAGAGATGTTGAATATTTTTTCATCCATCTGTTGACTATTTCTTCTTATGTGAAGTGCCTTTTCAGTTCCTTTACCCATTTATTGATTGGGTGGTTGTTGTTATTATTATTATTATTATTTTGGTGTTAAGTTTTTTGAGTTCTTGAGGAATAGGTGGCAAAGATTTTCTCCCATTCTGTAGGCTCTCTCTTCACGTTCTTGATTGTTTCTTTTGCTGTAAAGCTTTTTAATTTGATACCACCCCATTTATTGATTCTTGATTTTACTTTTTGTGC